CTCTTCTTAAAAGCCTCCAGTGGCTGTCCAGTCTCTTCTTAAAAGCCTCCAGTGATGGAGCACCCACAACTTGTGAAGGCAAAGCTATTCCACTGGTTAATTCTTCTCACTGCTTGGAAGTGTCTTAGTCGACTGTAGTGCAGGTGGAATCTCCCAACACTGTAAACAATATGATCTTGTAGCCATTGACTTCATTTGTTTATAAATTCTACTTGTATGGCCCCACCATCTCATACAAATGTTTGTCATTTTTTTTCTGGGCATGGAACAGGACTAAAAACATCAACATAATCCTAAGGCAGTGATGGCGAACCTTTTAGAGACAAAGTGCCCAAAAACTGCCCCCCTGCCTGCCCTTCCCATCCGCAGGGCCACCCACAGCCTCCACGGCCTGCTACAGATCACCCAGGCAACCCACCAGCACCATGGCAGCCATGCCCTCCGCCCGCGCCCCGCAGCATCAACTGTGTGCAACAGGTGTGAGGGTGAAGTGTTGTCCCCGCTGCTCAGCTTCCATGTCCTTGGCTGCACTGCTCCACGCAGGCTACGCTCGGGGGGTAACTCTCCTCTGGGGGGGCTGCTGGTGAAGAGGAGGCAGTGGGGGGAGGCGGGCCTGGGGCGATGGCGCATGTACCCACAGAGAGGGCTCAGAGCGCTGCCTCTGGCACAAATGCCATAGGTTCGCCACCACTGTCCTAAGGTAATAAAACAGAATAAAAATAAAACATGGCAGCTCACACCATCAACAATAATCGCAATATCTCACAGGCACATCTAATCTTCCAACCCCCATTCCTGGGAGAATAACCAAGTCTTAAAGATCTTCTGAGAGATCAACAGTGTTTTACAGTGTTTCTGATCTCTTTGTTTAGAACAATTAACCAATTAACAATTAACCTGCCTCCAGAAGCTGTGAATACTACTGGAAGTTTTCAAGAAGACACTGGACAGCCATTTGTCTGAAATGGTATAGGGTTTCCTGCCTGAGCAGGGGGTTGGACTAGATGACCTCCAAGGTCCCTTCCAACTTTACTACCATTGCTGCTGCTACTGCTATCTTGAGTAGGTTGTAGGACTAGAAGACTCCCAAGGTCCCTTCAAGCCCTATGATCTACTCCTAGGTGCAAAAAATCCCAGAACATTTCTATCTTACAAACATCAAACATGGATTGTCTATTCCAAAACCTCCATAATTCAGAAATAGCAGAATAAGGAAGTAAAGCATGAAGTAGACAATGGGATGTAATTTTAATTGCTATTTCAAAGCAGATGTTTCTAAGTTGAGGTAGGCATCACATTATGGCTGCTCATGGCAGGTCTGAATCTAATCAGATTGCAAATCTGAGCTCCATTGGCAATTTCAGTTGGATTTTGCCCGATCCTAACACTCTTAGTTATTAGCAGATTGTGATTTTTTTTTCTTAAACTGAGATAAAATAGAACAGAAAAAAAAAAAACAAGAGGCTAATAGTACACCAAGACTGGTCCAGGAAGATACAGGAACATACCTGTAAGTTCACTAGAATATGGACACATAGAGATATTTTTATCCATGGGATCACCAGGTGTCAGTTATGACTTGATGTAACCTAACAAGGAGCAACAAGGAGCAAATTAATCAACATATAATTGGGCTATTATCCCTATTAGCTAGGTTTAATATAGCATGAAAATTAAATAGAAATAAATTAAATGTAGCTGGATCCCACCCTCTCTTTCACTTAAGAAACATGTTGTGAGACTGTTCCTAGAAGATCCCTTGTTTCTTTAGCAATGCTCTTCTCCTTATTATCTAAAGAGACATGAATAGTTATGTAACAATCCAAAAAGGCATCTCATTAGCATGCATTTATATCCTGTCCTTTTCAGGACTTTAAGAAGAGATGCAAGAAAGAGAGAGAGCTTTATTGCAAGAAATACCGATTTTTTTTCCTTGACCATGGCACAAACCTCTGTCCTTTTCTTGATTTTTTTTACTTTGCAGGTAAAAGAAAACTTAAAACATCTGGGGTATTCCTAAAAAAAAAAACCAGTTCTTCTGCAATGTGCAGGAGATCCAACTTCGATTGATCAAGAGTTTTATTGGTCTTGGTTCTGCTCTGACCTATTATTCTATTCTATTCTATTCTATTCTATTCTATTCTATTCTATTCTATTCTATTCTATTCTATTCTATTCCATTCCATTCCATTCCACTCCACTCCACTCCATATTATTCTATTCTACTCTACTTACTCTACTCTATTCCATTCCATTTTATATTCTATTTTAGGATCTAGGGGCCAGTTTGTACTAACTCAGCCACTCTCCCTGTCAGTAGCCCTTGGAGGCAGAGCTGTGATCTCTTGCACAAGGAACACTGCAAGCATCAACAAATACCACATCTCCTGGTACCAAGAGAAACCCAACAGTTTGCCCAAGTTGTTGATCTACCAGCACAACAAGAGACCCCCTGGAATTCCAGAGTGATTCTCAGGATTTACAGGTGGGTCTTCTGCCACCTTAACCATCAACAATGTCCAAGCAGAAGATTTGGCTGATTACTATTGCTCATCTTACGACAGCAACTGGCTGCCCACGGTGATGCCATCCTAAGGGGAAGTGAACCAAAAAAACATCTCCTTGGCACCAAAAAAGAAGTTATTGATTTATAAGATTTCCTCATTCTTGGCCACAAGAGGAAGGCTACACTTCTCTTTTGTCCTTGAGTCACTCAGAAGTGGTGAAGGAATTAATGTTATCTCGCTGGCCTTTGGCTGATTCAACATATTTGGAGCTGCGCAATCTTGAGACAAACATTGAGACACTGGGGTGGTGGGGTGGGGAAGGTTTATAAAAGATCAATTTCCCTTCCTTAAAAGCAAATCTTGTCAGGTTGTGGAGGACTTTCCAGAGTGGTGGAGATTTAGGAGGGGGTCTCAAGACCCACTCTCCCCTCCTCACATTGTTATAATTGTTCCTATGAACCTCAAAAGAAATCCAGTGTTTTTAACAGGACCCAGTACAATAAATGGACACTTTCCTTATCAACTGAGCAGAAAGAAAAGTCAACCTCCATACAGATAGTCCTTGACTTATGACCACAATTGACCTCAACATTCCTGTTGCTAAGCAAGATGGCTGTTAAGTGAGTTTTGCCCCATTTTACAACCTTTCTTGGCAGAGTTGTTGAGTGAATCACTGCAGTTGTTAAGTTAGGAACACAATTGTTAAGCGAATCTGGCTTCCTTGTTGACTTGGCTTGTCAGAAAGTCGCCAAAGGTGATCACATGACCCCTGGACACTGTAGCCATCATAAGTACAAGCCAACCGCCTCAATTTTGATCACGTGACTATGGGGATGCTGCAACAGTTGTGTAAAAAGTAGTCATAAATAACTTTTTTTTAGTGCATTGTAACTGTGAGCGGCCATTGAATGAATGGACAACCTGGTATGCCAGAATTTGGGAAAAACTCACAGAAATTAAACCAGAATAATAATAATAATAGTAGTAAAGTTGGAAGGGACCTTGGAGGTCATCTAGTCCAACCCCCTGCTCGGGCAGGAAACCCTACACCATTTCGGACAAATGGCTGTCCAGTCTCTTCTTAAAAACTTCCCGTGTTGGAGCATTTACTGCTTCTGGAGGCAAGCTGTTCCACTGATTAATTGTTCTCACTGTCAGGAAGTTTCTCCTTAGTTCTAGGTTGCTTCTCTCCTTGATTAGTTTCCACCCGTTGCTTCTTGTCCTGCCCTCAGGTGCTTTGGAAAATAGCTTAATTCCCTGTTCTTTATGGCAGCCCCTGAGATATTGGAATACAGTTATCATATCCCCCCTTGTCCTTCTCTTCGTTAGACTAGACATACCCAATTCTACCAACCGTTCCTTATATGTTTTAGCCTCCAGTCCCCTAATCATCTTTGTTGCTCTTCTCTGTACTCTTTCTAGAGTCTCAACATCTTTTTTACATCGTGGTGACCAAAACTGGATGCAGTATTCCAAGTGTGGCCTTACCAAGGCATTGAAGAGTGGTATTAATACTTCACGTGATCTTGATTCTATCCCTCTGTTAATGCAGCCTAGCACTGTGTTGGCATTTTTGGCAGCTGCAGCATACTGCTGGCTCATATTTAAGTGATTGTATGATGGCAACAGTCAGAGGTGGAACTTTTTCCAACATTGTTGTTTTTTTTGTTAGTTGCGAAGTCGTGTCCAACCCATCGTGACCCCATGGACAACGCTCCTCCAGGCCTTCCTGTCCTCTACCATCTTCTGAAGTCCCTTTAAGTTCACACCTACTGCTTCAGGGACTCCATCCAGCCATCTCATTCTCTCTCGTCCCTTTCTTCTGTTGCCCTCAATCTTCCCCAGCATTAGGCTCTTCTCCAGCGAGTCCTTCCTTCTCATTAGGTGGCCAATGTACTTGAGTTTCAACTTCAGGATCTGGCCTTCTAAAGAGCAGTCGGGGTTGATCTCCTCTAGGACTGACCAGTTTGATCACCTTGCAGTCCAGGGGACTCACAGGACTCTTCTCCAGCACCAGAGTTCAAAGGCCTCAATTCTTTGGCGCTCAGTCTTTCTTAGGGTCCAGCTTTTCCAACATACACTTTATTAAAAGGCATAATGACAAATTCACTTTCTGATGAAGCCATCATTGCTCCAAGTTCCATTGGAAGAAATCTATGTTTTTCAGCCAATGGCACATTTGATGCTTTCGAGGAGCTTTTTTAACTGCAATACCCATAGCTAGTCATATACACAAACCACAACAAGGTAGCAAAGTGATGCAGTCATTTCCCACTGGGCACATCCCTATGTGTGTGTTATTTGTGTTTGTGTGTGATTGTCAAAACTGTTCAAGATGGTAGCCAGAACTGTATGATCAATCTTTAGTCTTAATCATTTTTTAATGCTTCGTGATACCAAGATTACTTAACGTCATGCATACCACTCCTGAATGAAAGATGGGATATAAACTTAATAAACAAACTAGATGTAATTGAAGAATATCTGGAGATCCGAAGGTTCCTCATCTCAAGATAGATATTACAGCAGATTCTGGAATTCTAACCAGATTGTTTCTTTAAAAGAAAGTCTGTGCAATAAGAGTTTTCAGGATTGGGGTCTCCAAGCTAAATACATATATAAGAAGCCTGTAAGGGGAGTGTCTGTGTTTCTGCATTGTCTTGGTACTCTAGCTCAATCAATGTGTAACAGCTGACCTTTGGCAACTTGTATTCCTGTTTTAGTCTGTTTGTTTTGCAATTTGCTAATCCAGAGGAGAGTCGGAGATTCAACAGGATGGTGAGTAGAGAAGAAAGGTATTTAAAGTATCTTTTGTGGTATCCTGGTTAATTTAGAGTGATCCCTTTGAGTTCAGACTTTAGAAACAGTTTTGAATCTTAGCTTAGTTGAAGGAGTGGTTGTAAGAGTGCCCCATTAACAGAATAACAGAGTTGGAAGGGACCTTGGCATCTAACTCCCGCCCCCTCAAGCGGAAGCACTATAAAATTTTCAGAAAAACAATTCTCCAGTCTCTTCTTAAAAATATCCTGTTATTGGAGCACCCACAACTTCTGGAGACAAGTTGTTCGCTGATTAATTGTCCTCACTATCAGAAAATTTCTCCTTATTTCTAGGTTGCTTCTCTCCTTGATTAGTTTCCATCCTTTGTTTCTTGTCCTGCTTTTAAGTGCTTTGGAGAATAATTTGACCCCCTCTTCTTTGTGGCAGCCCCTGAAATACTGGAATGCTGCTGTCATGTCACCCCTAGTCCTCCTTTTCATTAAACTAGGCATACCTGCAACACTTTGTATGTTTTAGTGTTGTTATAATACAACTTCTTTAACATGTTATCAATTTCTGCTGTCCTCCTTGATAACATAAAATGAATTTGGAAGTGGATTACGTTTGGAATGAATGAAACAATGACTGCCAAATGTTGCAGTGGATTCTCAACTGTGTTTCTTTACCTCTTTTCTTCTTCAGCTGGTGCTGGTGATAGGAGACTTTCACATCCCACACCGATGTAGCAGCCTTCCGGCCAAGTTCAAAAAGTTGCTAGTTCCAGGCAAGATCCAACATATCCTTTGCACTGGGAATCTGTGCACCAAGGAGAGCTATGATTATTTGAGGACACTGGCTGGAGACATCCACATTGTTAGAGGAGACTTTGATGAGGTAGGTCCTCATGGATGGTCCTCAATTGCCAAACCAGAATCAGCCACATCTGAGATTGGAGAATGTGTCTGATTCTGGTTTAGCAATTGAGGACCATCCATTCCTTCTACTGGAAGTTCCTGTGTGGATTAAGGAGCACCTCTTCCTGCCATGTTCTGGAAGTTCTACTGATATTGTGGTGGTTAGCAATGCTTTAATGTTCCTCAGCCTTAAACTTACTTTAGCATTAGAGTGTTAAACTAAATCCTGCCATTCCTAAGAGGAAGTGGACTCTTCATCCATGTCACAATGGGGGAGAATGATGTGAACATTGTAACAGTGAGGAACCAGTTGTAGCTCACTTTTTCCTGTGCAGCTGCCACTTCGAACAGTCTCTAAATGAATGGTAGTTAAGTCAAGGATTACATAATAAAAGATTATATTTTAGCTCAGGCTTGACATTAGGGGTCCTTGGTGCTCTCTGAGCTTGGTGGTTTTCTTGCAGATGTTTCATGACCCAAACTAGGTAACACCATCAGGTCTAGTCCTGATGATGTTACATAGTTCGGGTCAGGAAATGTCTGCAAGAAAACCACCAAGCTCAGAGAATACCAAGGAGCCCCCAAGGATTACTTTTATTGAGCAGTGTATTGGCTAATGACTGACATTTTTTTTTTTTTTTTGCAGGGCATGAGTTACCCCCAGCAGAAAATTGTCACCATTGGACAGTTCAGAATTGGTCTGATCCATGGCCATCAAATTATACCTTGGGGGGATCTAGCCAGCTTGGCGATCCTGCAGAGACAGCTGGATGTGGACATCTTAATATCCGGACACACTCACAAGTTTGAGGCAATAGAACATGAGAAGAAGTTCTACATCAATCCTGGTTCAGTCACAGGGGCCTATAACGCTCTGGAAGGGTGAGAACTACACACTTCAAGGGATTTATTTCTGGAGATCATATTTTTTTCATTCCTGGTTGTTGGGTGGATGATCAGGCATGGCCATCAAATGGAAAACATTGGAGAAGACCCAAGTAAGGTGAAATAGAACATTGGAAGGAATCTTTGTGCACCCATGTAGATGCTCAACCTAAATTAATAAATCCTGAACAAATGTACTTTTCTTAGCCAGCTATTAATCCAGAAACAATATAGTGTGCTACAGTTTAGCATAATGCGTTTGATAGAAGTTCAAACCTTGTTTTATTAAGACTGCTTTCTTTTAAATGAACTAATACTGCAAATTTTGGAGAAACTGCTTCCTATTTTAACTACAAATATTTCTTCTTTCCAGGGATATAATTCCTTCATTTGTTCTGATGGATGTTCAGTCCTCCATGGTGGTTACTTATGTATATCAACTCATTGGGGATGAGGTGAAAGTAGAAAGGATTGAATACAAGAAAACCTGAAACGGAATGATTTGCCCTGGATGTCTATTTCAGCTAGAAAGTTTAGCAAATTTTTAAGTCATTGCACCTGTTCATCTTGGGTTGTTCAAGTTGCTTGTGGTTAATCCGAATGTTAAAAAATAACCTTTTTCAATATATTAAACTCAGCAAATTTGGAATTCTCAAAAACGTCTGTTATAGTGGTTGATGGGAGAAAAGACAGCAAAGGTGGTATGTGTGCATCAAATGTTCAGGTTTCTGTGTTTGAATAAAGATCTTTTTTACATGCATAACTTGAGAAGGTGTCATTTCTGAAATCCAAGGATTGGAATGGGCAATGGTTGACTTTCACAGAATCTTAAGGAATGTTTTGTGAATAAATCAGAATGTCTTAATGTAAGGGTTACAAGGGGAGGGTAGTTGGGTAGTAAATGACCAAGGAGCCAATAAAGGCTGATGGTGTTGTAGGAGATGATAATGCTGCACCTGAGGGAGGGGTCGAATGCATCATAAGTAATGAGTCCCTTCAGGCCCACCAGAGATCTAAGTACAACCCACCATTAATTCCTTATCTACCCCCAAATTGCTTTGACTGTTAGTAGTTCAGATTCTTACCGAGAACATAAGCTTGCAATCAATCTTTACATCCATTTGAACTGCCTGGATCTTCTGATTTCTCTGGTGCTTGATAGGTGGTCCCTGGGAGGTGCCCTGGATCCTTGATAGGTGGTCCCTGGGAGGTGCCCTGGATTCTTGATAGGTGGTCCCTGGGAGGTGCCTTCTCCAGATGTAAGGTATTCACTACATTACAGATCAAGGAAAGTGTACAGTCACCATGTGCTTTACTGCTTAACTAATAATAATAATAATAATAATAATAATAATAATAATAATAATAATAATAATAATAATAGGCTCATTGGGTGCAATCCCAAAACAATTGGAGCACCACTTGAACACTATTGGCATTGACAAATTCGCTATTAGTCAATTGCAAAAGGCGGTCTTACTAGGAACTGCTTCCATCCTGCGACGATATCTGTAATACCATCAAACATCCACATCTGCCTATCCCAGGTCCTGGGTAAGGACTCGATAGGTAGACAAAATGCCACATGTGCGATGATCCATAATGTGCGATGATCCATAATAATAATAATAATAATAATAATAATAATAATAATAATAATAATAATAATAATAATAATAAATCTTTATTGATTAGCCCTTGGGCCATATCAAAGTGCAAAGTTCCAGCAACAAATTATTACTAAAGTTTGATAAAAGCAATTTAAAATGAAATTTGATAAAATACAGTTTAAAATGGAATTAAAACAGAGTACAATAATTTAAAATATAGATAAAATACATTAAAATTATACCTTGGAGTCACCCTTGCAATCTACCCCAATCAGTCCCACATATACAGATCTCAACCAAATCATTTTGTTTAAATACTGTGCTGCGTTAAATGTTATTTTCAAGTTCTGGCCACACATAAGGTAAGTTGTTTTGATATGGGGATCTCAATGAGTCATTTGTTTGGTATATAGACCAAGGTACCTGTCTCTCACCCTCTTATACAGGCAACAGTCAAATGTGAGCCATAGTACTTCTCTGTTTACCGTATCAAATGCTGCTGTAAGGTCTATGAAAGCAGCAAACAGGGGTCTCCTCTTATAGGCATATTTGGCAATCAGATGGTTCAAGACAAAGCAGTTATCAATAGTAGATCGGCTTTGTCTAAAACAGTGGTTCTCAACCTGTGGGTTGGGACCCCATTTGGGGTCGAACAACCATTTCATGGGGGTTGCCAAACAACGCAGTCCGCCATTTTTTCCCCCTTTTCCTTAGCTGTGCTACTCCCTTTTATTCTATTGGCTTTTGAAAGCCAATAGAATAGACTCTCTTGAATAGAGTCTAATTCTATTGGCTTTCAAAAGCAATAGGAATTGTCCAGGCTGTCTCTGCCCTGCTGAGCCTGCCAAAAGTCCCATTCTGCAAACGGTGCTGCACCAGTTGAGTAGTCCTCGACTTATGATCGGTTGAGTAGTCCTCGACTTATGACCGGTTGGGGGTCACGGCATTAAAAAGGTTGAGAACCACTGGTCTAAAACCTGCTTGTTCTTCTGCGAGGATATTGTTTTCCTCTACCCAGATTTCAGTTCTGTTCAAAAGGTACCTAGCATATATTTTTGCTGCAATATCAGCCAGGCTAATGGGCCTATAATTACTAGGGTCCTTATTATTCCCTTTTTTATATATGGGGACAACTATTGCCATCTTCCACCCATCTGGTATATGGCAGGTGTTATTTATGTGTGTAAAAACACCTGCCAATAAAGGACCCCACCAACTGGGAAATTTCTTGAATAATTCTGCTAGTAAAAAATCTTCACCTGGGGCTTTATTGCTCTTTAAGCTTTTGATGATGGATTGCATCTCCTTTTCTAAGACTGGCGGCCAAGAGGGGGAAGTTCTAGGGTTTGTTAAATCACTGGTCACCATGATGTAAAAAAGATGTTGAGACTCAAAGAGTACAGAGTAGAGCAACAAAGATGATTAGGGGACTGGAGGCTTAAAACATATAAGGAACAGTTGCTGGAATTGGGTATGTCTAGTTTAATGAAGAGAAGGACGAGGGGGATCATGATAGCAGTGTTTCCAATATCTCAGGGGCTGCCCCAAAGAAGAGGGAGTCAAGCTATTCTCCAAAGCACCTGAAGGCAGGACAAGAAGCAACGAATGGAAACAAATCAAGGAGAGAAGCAACCTAGAACTAAGGAGAAACTTCCTGACAGTGAGAACAATTAATCAGTGGAACAGCCTGCCTCCAGAAGCAGTAAATGCTCCAACACTGGAAGTTTTTAAGAAGAGACTGGACAGCCATTTGTTCAAAATAGTATAGGGTTTCCTGCCTGAGCAGAGGGTTGGACTAGATGACCTCCAAGGTCCCTTCCAACTTTGTTGTTGTTGTTGTTATTATTATCCTTTTATTTTGGGTCACCTTTATCTTTTTTGGTGAGCCATCTACCAGCCCTATTACATGGTCTTAAACCTGAGCGGTCTCGCAGTGTCACGCTTACCGGCTGATGGTCGCTATTGTTGCTAAGGTGTACTTTCCTTTCAACTTTATCTCTAGACACACAAAAGAGATCCAGTACACTGCTTGAATTGGCCGAGTGGAAAGTGTAAGGAAATGTGTAATTCATATCCTTACCTCCCAGCATTTGGAGATTACCCTTAAAACTTAAGGAGACTAGGAGCAGGCCAGCAACATTACTTTTGCACTCTCTCGAGAGCCACTGAGGATGGTTATCAAAAAATTCCCCTGGGAGAGCTCATACAAAGAGGGACCCAGCCAGGCATTCACGTCTCCTAGTAATACCACAATGGACTGAGGGTACAATACAGATATATCTTCTAGAATAACTTCCAAGCCCCTCCAACATTCAGAATTATAATACTGGGATGTGATTATTGCTTAACTGTTTTACCTGTAATAGGAAACAGGAAACTCTACTTAGGACAAAAGAACATCGAATATTTATCATAGAGCAGGAGTAGGCAACGTTGGCTTTTTTATGACGTATGGACTTCAACTCCCAGAATTCCTGAGACAGCATGGGGGAAACTTTGGCCCCCTCGTGACTCATGGACTTCAACTCCCAGAATTCCTGAGCCAGCATGGGGGAAACTTTGGCCCCCTCATGTCTCGTGGATTTCAACTCCCAGAATTCCCGAGACAGCATGGGGGAAACTTTGGCCCCCTCATGACTCGTGGACTTCAACTCCCAGAATTCCTGAGCCAGCATGGGGGAAATATGGCATTCTGGGAGTTGAAGTCCACGAGTCATGAGGGGGACATAGTTCCCCCATGCTGGCTCAGGAATTCTGGGAGTTGAAGTCCACGCGTCATGAGGGGGCCATAGTTCCCCCATGGTGGCTCAGAAATTCTGGGAGTTGAAGTCCACCAGTCATGAAGGGGCCATAGTTCCCCCATGCTGGCTCAGGAATTCTGGGAGTTGAAGTCCACGAGTCATAAAAGAGCCGAGGTTGCCTAACCCTGCCATAGAGCCAGACTTGTAAACACTGCTGTCTACTGGCTAAACACTACTGTGGTTCAGGGGTGTCAAACTGCTGGCCCACAGGCTGGATGCGTCATAGTGAAACCATGCCCACCCCATTGCTGGCAATGGAAAAAAAGTGATGTTGCGAGTTTGACACCCCTGTAGTTGTTGCACAAAGATAAATTCCAACAATGAATTCCTGAAGGGCATTTCTTAAAAACACAAATAAAAGAAAAAAAGGAATTTGGAGAATGTTGTTGGACAATATTGTGTTTTTATATGGTGCGCATTTATGTTAATTTCAGCAAGGCAGTTATTAAATTTTAAATCTTTCTCCTATGTTTTTTTTTTCCCACTTTATTTGAGGTTGATTGTTTCCTTATCAAATAGCTTTTGCATTTAAAGCAGCAAGTCATGCCTGATAGTTAAAACTCTCAACAACTGTGAATATTTTTTTTTTTTGAATGCTTAGATCCTCATGTTAGGAAACACAATTGAAATTGTGATTCTACTTCATGGATCTTTCTGATTTTGGCTAGAGGGGTAATTGCAATCCTGGTTCTGTTTTCTGCCACGCACTAAGGTTTTTTCTCTTCAATATTTACACAAATCTTGATTGTGCAAATTTCTCCTCTGGTCATTTGTTTGTGCTAAGAAGGTGTCTAGCAAAGTCAACAAAACTCTAAACATTTTCATGGCTGTCACTAATGCATTCTGAGAAGATTTAAGAGAACAGGAGCAGAAAGATTCCACAGCAATAAGCCTCATTTTTTTTTTCAGCTGTCTAAATTTCTTGCTGTAGATAACCTACCATGATCTGGTCAATATTTTTCTTTGCCTTTCTAAATTACTACTCAGGTAAGCATGCACGCACATTGAGCATTGGTTATAGAAATGGGGTGCAGCTGTAGGACTTTGGAGAACAGAAAATATCACCATTGTGATCTTTTTCATTCTCCATGAAAGCCAAGATCTAGTGCACCCAAGACAGCACTGCAAAATATGTCATAGTTTGGTATATTCTGAAAGTCTAGAAAATGGGTCAAATATGTGTTGCTTTCT